TGGGGGTGAGGGACAGTGGGGAGGGGGTTTGGGGGGCTGGGAGAATGGGGCGAAGGGTTAAAGAAGTAAAAATTAGTAGCTGATAGTTGGTCACGGGGATGGGGAGAATGGCATAGGGAATGCAGTTAGCATTAATATGATGGCTAGGTAGAGGGTCGCCAGGGGAGGGAACAATTAGGGGGATCGTTTTATGAATTATATAGATGTCTAACCAATGTACTGTATACTTGAAACTAATTTAAATAAATTTAAAAAAAAAGAAATAGAAGTCATTATGCTTCTCCTAATGTGAACATTCAAAAAAATAAAGGTCTTCCCTGATCAAATTTATCTAAAATACCAACCTCCTCCCCTCTCTAACATTATACCTTCCTTTATTTTTCTTCGTGTCACCACCAGCCATATATTATTTGTTTATTTGTCTCTCTCAACTAAAATATTAGCCCCACAAGAACAGGGATATTATTTTGCTCAGGTATTATCTCCAGCACCAAAAACAGTGCTTGGTTTTTAGAAAGCACTTGTAATTATCTGTTGAATGAATATATTTTGTACCATCACATTTCCTTTTGTGCTCAAACAGCAGCAGCAAAAGGTGAAAAATGGGAAATTTTCTAACATAAAGGTAATATAAAATCCATGTCATAGCTGTATAACAACATGGAAAACATTATAGTGCCCTTCATTATTAATTTTTAGCCCACATTACATTGATAGCCCTTCTACAACTCTCTAACAGAAGCATGGACTTTCACCAGCTGAATCGTTCATTATTTCTTCTTCAAGTGTTATGTTTTGAAAAATGTAAGATAACTAAAGTTGTATGTACTTTTCAATACCTCTCAGTAAGATGACAAGTGATACTTATGTCATGTAGAAGCTTTGTTTGAGAACTTCTAGATTTGGGGCAATCACAGATCAAAAAGAAATGCTGCCAAAATATTTTATTCTAATTCTTGTACATTACTCTATTATAAACCAAAAATACACAATCACTATCATATTAAAATTCTTGAATGATTAACTATCAGTGGTTTGCTTCTGCGATATCATTACATATTGGACATACTCAATGTTACTACTCCAAATTAATTTCTGTATGTTTGCATGGGAAAAGTAATTACTAGGGAAAATAATACAACTATAGATTTTCATTTGGCCTTTAGGTACAGAAAATGGCACTTAACATCTTACTACTTCTTTAATAGATAATGAATATCAAATGTTTATATAGTTGCTCACAGGTTTCAAAACTTATTTGATGCACATAACAATGCCGTGTGGTAGGGAAGATAAGTTTTATTCTCATTTTACAGATGAGGAAACAAAGCCTTTATAAAACGAAACTAGGCATAAAAATATTAAAGAACCAGGGAAGATAAAGGAAGCAGGGTTAACGGGGTTAAGTAGAATCGCTGGACTCGATGTATTCATGTATTTGCAGATGCTGGCTTATTAAAAATAAAATCTCACAGGGTAACCCCTGGTGAGGGCAAATCACACTGTATTCCTGACTGGCAGATCTTCCTAAATCCTATACACTAGAATACTTCATAGAATGTAGCCCCATAATTCCACTCATGTAGTAGCTCCCATTTGCCAAGCAGAGCAAATTGATTTGTGCTTAATAAGCCATATATGCATAAATTATTTTAATCACATAAAACCTGATGCTAAATTTAGATGCCACGAGAAGTCATTACCCTTAATCAGGCAAGGGGAAAAAGGGATAATGTAAGGTAACTGCAAAAATGCAGAACGGTGAATTATGTCTCTAAACAAAAGAAAATCGCTTTATCTGTAAAATAATCTTATGTATAACAAAAATTTCCACAAGATATTCTACCCTGCTGTGAACCAGGACAACTGAGTAAGATAAAGTTAGGTAATCAGTAAGTAATCTATCAAATATCTCCCAGAAGTGTTTCAGAATTTAGAAAAGGACCTCAGAATTCTAACTTCCAAACCAGTCTCCCATTATAAGTATACTAGGGTTCTCTATTACTCCATTTCCATGATTAAGAAAAAAAAGAGAGTCACCTAGTCCACTGCAAAAGTCATTACAAAGCTGGTGGTTATTGCCAATTATCACATGTCAAAGAAATAAAAACTTAAAGTTAGAACTATTAACATTTCTAGATGTCTTTACCTTTACTTCATTAAACGAAATGTATAAAAGAATCTTTTAAAAGAGTAGCACATAACACTAGATTTTAGCAAACAAAATAGACAGAAGCAAGCTTATGCTGGCACACAGTCAAACTCCTGTGAGAGCTAATCCAAATGTGGATTTATGGTAAAGCACAGCAAAGCTCTTGGCATCACAATTTTAAGTAAGAACACAGTATTTGAGCAGCCATGAAAATCAGCAAACACTTTAGCTATAGATTAAAAAAAAAAAAAAAAACTTCAAAAACATCTTTACTCCTTTCTTATCCATTGTTTAATATACATGAAATATAGTGGCAGCTCTCACATGGTAAGTCCAAGCATCTTGACAACACCACAGGTAAAACAATCATGCAGAAATATAAATTGACCACAAAAATGGAGCTATGGCTATTCTCAATATACACGCATGGTAGAAATCTTGGTTTACTTCTTCAGGCAAATCTCTGATTCTAGAGAAAAGAAGAGTAAATGGGAGTGGGTAGGATAGAGATAAGTAACTGGTGCAATTGGTTCATGCTTTAAAAGAGCATATCAAATAAAAACCAAACACAGAAAACAAGGAGTGATTATTTAAAAGAAAGGTACAAGTAAAAAACCATTTAATGCATTATAGTGATTTGATTCTCAAGAATCTGATATGCCTATTATTTTTCAGGAAATACACTTGTACAAACAGAAATACACTTCTTAATGTGGACAAATATGGGTAAATGTGGACAAATGCACCAAAAAATTTGGTCAAGTAAAATTATGGAGAACCAGAATATTATGCTATCATAGGCCAGCTATAAAATATATTTTAAATATATTCCGACCTGTTCTCAATGGACTAAAGAGACTAAATTACATTACTGGGTAATTATGAACATTGATTCTCAAATTTTAATGTGGAAAATATATGCATCTATTAAATGGAAAGATTCCTCTGCCATATTTTCAAGAGGTCCTTTTTAGAAGCTGGATAAGATAAATAGATCTTTCAAGATTAAAAAAAAATAACGTCCTGTAGAACTTCAGAATTCTCTCCACCTTGGGTGTGGCTTGAAAAAAAGGAAATAACAGCACAAGTTTACAAAACATCTTAACATACATTGATTTGGCACCTATCATCTGTCACTTTATCTTCTCGACTCTGTGAGGTAGACACCATATTACAGGAAAAGCAATGTCATCTTCATGAATCTTTACCTAACCCTTCAGTTATTTGGTTCTAGTTATAATTTACCTGGTTTACTAGTTACTGGTTATAATTCTAATTTGCCTGGTTTACTGGTTAATTTCCCCTAACCCCACCCTCTCTCTCTTATGAGCATTTCAAGGCAGGGAACTGAATCTTAACTGTCTTTGTACCCTAGCATTCCAAGCGGCACACAGTAGGCCCCTAAGGTTGAGTAAATGAAATAATTTGTCAAGTGCATTCAACGAGAGATGAGAATGGGACTAAAATGCATGGATTCGGATTCTTTCCTCTTCCTGCTACATTACACTGCCTAAATTAAGCCTGGTCCAGCATTCCAAGGCCTCCACACCAAACTAGAAATTGCCACGAAGAAGAGCTGTGTCCAAAAGTTTGAATGCCCCTGTCTGAGACGAGTGGACTCAAAATAAAATTATTTGATGGCTTTAAACACTTGACCAAGGAGCAGTTCTTGATCTGTAAATCAAAGAATTTAAGGCAGGACGGATTAAGCGGGGAGAGTTAAACTTCTGTTTAATTGGTTTGCTTACAATCATCGCTTTGAAAGAAAGGGCAGCGCCAAACACTCAAGACTGAAATGAATTACGACAGTGACTTTGAGAGGGAATCCCAAGGATTGAAAACGTGGAGACAAAGTAAAATATGCTAAATTGGGTCAGCGTCCTCCCCCCACACCCCGCCTCCCACTCTCATTTGAAGCCTATTCCTCAGAATGTGATTGGGGCTCCTCCCTTTCTCACCACCTTCCCCGCTTCCCCTGCCCACCCCCAAACACACACTTACACTCTTCAGGGTGGTTATTATCAACACAGGGTTTTGTGAAAAAAGTTAAGTCTACGACTGCGAATTGGAACCTGTCACCAGCCTAAATGCTACCAGTCGAAGTCTAACACTCGTCACCAGCCTCCGCCCCCATGAGAAGCGACAGTGCTGGTACTTTGCCTTAAAAAGAACATCTCTCCCTTTCCCTGTCCCACCCAAAGAGCAACTGCTGGTCCAGTGAGGCATTCTTAGGACTTGGGGAGTGCAATGCAAAGGTAGCAGTGGGAGAACCTCTGTCCCTCCGCCCAGGGTTTGGGATCGGGTAGCGGGTGGCGAGTAACTGTCCTCACCACCTTTGAAGTATCAGCGACCATGGCCACGAGGCGGATGAGGGTGGCCACAGCTTACCTGTGAGACCTCCTCCGCCTTCCTCCCCGTAGCCCCGACGCCGTTGCAGCACGAAGTAGTCGTTGGACCTTTCCATCAGCCACAGCTTCAGCGCATTTTTCAGGAGCACTTCCTCAGGCTTCAGCCACATCGCCAAGAACTTTGTGCTGCCCGCGAGCAGCTCCCCAGATGTCCTCCTCACCTCACTCTCCACCCGTCTTTTCCCCTCTACTTCTCCCACTAAATCTTCTTCAGGCAGCAGCGGCTCAGGTTCAGGTTTTCCACACTTCCCCCAACTCTCCCTTCTCTCCCACGTAGGCAGCAAGATTGCCAATTCCCTCCCACCGCGCTACCGCCCGACTGGAAAATAGTCCCGCTTCTTCACCTCCTGGGAATTGTAGTTTCCTACCTGCTTTTCTGTACTCAAGCCACTGGAGGACAGGACTACATTTCCCATAATCCATCGGAGTGCGAACTGGGTTGGGGTGCTTTCAAAGTGGGTCCTGCAACCAATTAAGTGTATTTTGCCTACCTAAAGTTTAAAGCGGTTTTTGTTCAAATAAGCGAGCCCCAGGTATAAAAGAGTTCTCATCCTTTTACAGCCGACGGTCTTAAACTGTAGCAAACAAAGTTTCTGGAATTTCGGAGTGACGAAAGGCCCGTTCTGGGACGCGGCAGTAGCATCAAATGACATTTAATGAGTTCTTTGTACTAAAAAGATTTCGTGTATAGTATCTCACGCAATCCTTACAGAAGTCTTATGAAGTAGATCTTATTCGCTATTTTGCGCATAAACAAAAGCGCAAGACGGGTGAGTTGACTTATCCAAGGTCACAAGTGGAGTCTGATACGATTTCTTGTCTAATTCAAAACCTTCCTTAGATTAAGCTTTCTGGCCTTACAGGAAGACTATAAAATCTCCAGAAGGCACACAAATTTTTCCCCCTCTTTTCCCCCCACTGCTGCACCAATCTGTTCACCTACTGTAATCAGCCACAGAATGTTTTGTCTCACTTTCCTTTTCAGTATCTAAACAGTTTATGAACATTTTTTTTTTCTTAAGCTCTATAAGAAAAAAAAGAATCCCTTTAAGGGCAGCCTTCACCTATTTGTACCTTAGCAGTGATACACAGCTGCTTAAACAGTAAGGTGAATGAAGTCAGTGATTTGCAGTAAGGAATTATTTGAGGGATGTTTTTATTTATTGTGATAACTAAACCCACCAAAATGAAAGAGTGCACCAAAAGCTACAACAGGTGTATAACAAGGTAGGAATTGGGAGTAAATGTTCTCTGCCTCCAGTGCCCTTAGAATAGGCTTCCAGAGATTTCTATTCCCAGTAGGCAGGGATTACAGCCCTATCTCAGTTTTGAAGAAGTTACAGAAGACAGACCTTCATCCCTCAACATCTCCTTAAGAATAAGGGATTAAAATCTCTGATGGGGGGAATAATGTAGGGAGGAGGCAAGAGAATTAAAATGTTAATAAAGCCACAACCAGAGACTGCAATATGCTGATCAGCCCTGTAGCCAGGCCAGGACACCTTCAGAACAAAGGAAGATTTCTGCTGGGATTGCTAACAGTCCATTTCCCACACCTGTGAAGGGGAAACAGGAACCAAGAGTCATTTCCCATGGCGAAAACCATGGGCAACCTGTGGATTAAAGGCTAGAAACTGCCAGCAGGCCTTTCGCTCCACATATTCTTACCTTTTCACAGCTACATACCCTTCCCCTTTCTCACTGTATGTCCATAGCAAAAGAAATGGGTTAACAAAGACTTTTAAACTATAACTCACAGGTTCTAAAGAATGATATATAAACTAATTCCCCAAACACTCAGCCCCCTACTCACTGCCTTTCCACGTCCCTCTCAGTGGCTTTACTCTGTCTCTTTCACTGTCCCTCTCACTCGCTGCCTCTGAGAGACCACAGTTTGTCCGTGGAGTATTACCTCTTTTTTAGTAAACTTTCCTTTTGACTCTAACTTTGGCATGTGTGTTGACTTCTTTCTACACTCCCCGCAAAAGGACTCTCTTCTCTCCGCGCAGGGTTTGGTCTCTCCACCACTAGGGGAAATTTGCCCTGTCCTGCATCAATTGTGATAACTAAACACGTCAAAATTTAAGAGCGCACCACAAGTAAAAACAAGGAAGGAATTAGTAGTCGATGTACAATAAACAAGGGTCTCTTGGCGAGCCATTTTGAAAATGAAGCCTCAAGGCCATTTGGCTAAAAAAAAAAAAAAAAAAAAAAGGAAGGGGCACACCCAAATGCCAAGTCCTAGAGCCAAAGAATTCTGCCTTGGAGCAGCGTTTCTGGCTTAAATCTCTCAAAATGTGGGCCATCTCAAGGCAGGAGACATGTGTTAAAAGCAGAGAATTTTCCTAGGGGTGAGGAAAAGGTCAATTTGTGATTCTAAAAGGTAGTAAGTAGTCCCAAGGAGACTTTCTGGAGAGGATAGGAAGAGACAACCTTCTCAGAGCCCAAACTGCAATGTATACCCGGGAAAAATCTTCCCAATGTGGATATGTATTAAGGAAGGTAATTTTTTTTTTTTCTGGTGAAAGATCAGTAAATGTAGCAAATGTAGAGAGATGTAAGGTGTCCTTTCTTTTTCACCTTTCCTTCCCTTTTTTATTTCCTTCCTCGTCAAACCACATTCTCTTCCAATGCCCTTAAAGGTTAGAGCTGTGGCAAGGGCTCTGCAGAACTGAATGGTTCCTCTGCCTCTTTACTAGCAGCTCCGCCTACGTGCCCACATGCTCCCTGTTGTAGAATCAGATCCACTTTGGGCTCAGCAGGGTCATTTAGAGAGCTCCTTCTTTTAGTAAACATTCCACCGATTATGTAAAGAAATGTTTTTTGAAATTAAATTACTCCTATAATATAAATTTTGGCTTGATCATAAACTATATTTCAAATCTTTGCAAATAAAAGTATTTGTCTGGAAGTACCTTAAAAACAGAGCATGCCACTCTATTCAATATTTAATTATGTTACGTTAATGTAAATTATTTTTTAGGAAAGAAGGACTAGAATTACAAACTGCTTTGAATATCATTGCTGGTACTGTACTGGAGATATATTTTCATACATACATATATATGGAGAGAAGGAAGAGGGAGAGAGAATCAATTCTCATTAACAAAATTATACATCCTTACTTTACAGATGAAGAACATGAGGCTCAAAGAAGTTAAGTAACTTGGGATCACATAGCTAAATAAATAGCAGAGCTGGGATTTGAACCTGGGTTTGTCTGACTACCAACCATGACACTATACTACTTAGGCATATGGTTTGTTAATACCTCAAATACAACATGTCCAAAGACTTCTTTCCTCAGTATCCCCTCTGCCCAAGGTTGTTTCTCCTACTATGTTCTCATAGTTTACTGTTTACCAAGATGCTCAAGCTAAGAACCTTGGAATAATCTTAAACTTCTTACTCTTACCACCTCTACTGTCACACACACCTCTCTAATTCTTTTTCAAAAGTCCATCCCATTCTCCTATTATCACTTCAGATTAGCTCCACATCACTTTCCTGCTATACTATTATATTAGCTTCCCAACTCATCTGTCTGCTTCCATTCTTGTTTTCTGATTTATCTAAATCACATATATATGGACGCAATGTTATACCATGCAGAGATGAATAATACCGCATTTATTCAGAGGTCAGTCTTTCAGCTGACCCAGGCCTCTAAATCATAATACCTTAATACCTATGTAAAAAAGGTAATAGGAAACCCCAAATAGCAATTCCAAATTCTGTGCCATTGAAAAGCTGAGGATGTCTCTCAAGATTTTACTGGCTTCTTATTTGAAATGAATTTCACAGGCTTAGTTGATGCTTTACAGTCTACAGAAGGTTTAGAAGCAGAAAGATTCAAAACAGGGGGAGCACTGCTAGAGGACAGCCATTTAAGGCTTTGCTACTCAAAACATGGACCCTGGACCAGCAATACCTGCATCACCCAGGAGCTTGGTAGAAATTCAGAATCTCAGACCCCATACTAGGCCTGCTGAATCAGAGTGTGCATTTTAACAAGATCTTCAGGTAATATGTACGCACATTAAAATTTTATATGCACTAATTTAAAGCAAATTAGATATTTGAAAATCAGACTGTACAACAAATTGGAGATGGTTAATCATGTTTCCATTAAGACCTACACAGGCATCTTTTAAAAATAAGTTCTGTTAATGAATTTTAGATGTCTGAATTGCTTTTTTAAAGAAACGTTTATATCAGAATATATCCATTAAAATTTTTAAGGCAATGGTTGAGAACTGAAACATCAGTTGGAGGAGAAATTGCCACGATCTATGCTAAACCCTATTTAAATATACTACTCTCTAACCATTAAAATCTAGGTATGTTCACAAGTGTCTCACACTCATGAGATCGTATGTTTCTGTAGACAAAAAGTTAAGAACTAGTGGGTACCATTTTTCAAATTTTCCACTAAATTAGCTCAAAGGTAGAGGACAATGAACATTTATCTCTGGAGGTCAAAGGGCCCACCATAACAATGAATTTCTTTTAAGTCTCATGTAGTATATGAACCTAAATTTCACGTTATGTCTTAAAATATTTTAAAAATCCACTCCAAATAGAAAAGGCGATGAGCAAGGTAAATAACTCAAAATTTGTTATAGTCTAAGGTAATAAAATTCTTCCAGATCTTATAGAACTTAAAATATTTAGTAAATGAACAAAAAGTAGATATAGAGGGGTTGGGGAGGAATGTTCCTAGCATTACAATTGTATTTTTAAATGTATTTTTACTGATTTACCTGGGAACCATGTATATTCCTATTTATAAGATACTACAACCTGACTTCTGCTTAACTTACAAATGAACTCTCAGAAAACTCCTCTTAAGTTAGAGACTCCCTATACATACAAATATACCTACTGCCACTTAAAGGAATCAGCTTGTATTTGATTATTACGTGAGAGTAATAGAGTCTGTTGTTCAAACTTTTTTATTATCAAAAATAATACCTGGAAGAAATTTCATAGGTCACATGGGATTCCTCTCCTTTGCATATGATATACCCAAGAGAATCAAAAACATACACAAAGACTCATGTGTGAATGTGAAAAGCATCATTATCCATAATGGCCAAAAAGTGGAAACAACCTAAGCGTTCATTAAGTGATGAATGGATATCCAAACGTGGAATATCTATACAATGGGATATATTACTGAGCAATGAAAAGGAACAAAGTACTGATGCACACTTCAACATGGATGAATCTTGAAAGTATTACGCTAAGTGAAAGAGGCCAGTCAGAAAGGACCACATATTGTATAATTCTGTTTATATAAAATGTCCAGTATTGGCAAATCTACAGAGCCAGAGAGCAGATTAGTGGTTGCCTGGGGCTGGGAATAGGAGCAGAAATTGACTGCAAATGGATTATGAGGGAACTTTTTGGGGTGATAAAATGTTCTAAAACTGAATTGTAGTGAAAGTTGCACAACTCTATACATTTGCTAAACATCACAGAACTGTACATTTACTTTTTTTAAATTAAAATTATTGAGGTGACATTGGTTAATAAAATCGTGACAAAAGAACTGTACATTTACAATGGGTGAATTTTGGGTATGTAAATTATACTTCAATACAGTGTTAAAATTCAAAAAATTATAAAGTCCCCCCCCCAAAAAAAAAAGAACCCCTGTAAAAGTTGAAATAAGTAACCATCTAAGAATATAGGTCGAGTTTATTGTATGGCATCATACACACATATACCTGGCACATTGCCACATAAGACATATGTGTACCTTGGTTTGATAATCATGGTTCTGAGGTGTTCCAAGCATCTGTTTACTCTTAACATGTTTGACAAAAGAAAAAGATACACTTAACTCATTAACTGCTTCTCAATAATCATACTGCCAAAGAGAAGGCAGAAGGAAAAGAAAACTTTAAAGTAATAAAATGACCTTAAGTCTTGAGCAGTATAAAGATAGACTGGCATCAAGGTCTTTTCCTAACCTTATATTATTAGTGGTCAACCTTATTATTTACCTTGCTGAACTTTTAAAATAATTCATGGTAAGTGTAGTTATATTACAATGGTAGCAGTTTCTATGTAATGAAATATGTAAATGTACACTGTACTAGTTTTAGTTTTTATTGATCGGATATATCAATTACCATTTATAGCTAACCATTTTTTTCCTCCCAAATCTAAGCATATATGAAAAGTTAGTATATGATTACTAAACATCAGACACAAACTTTTATTGGAATATTTTATTTATATTTTATACTTAAAGAGAATCAATACAAATCAGGGCATATTTACAGCATTTCAAATCAGTGTACAAGAACGCAATGGTTTCATCCATTCTACATTTAGCAAACAAAAATACATTTCTGTTCTGCTTTGGCCTAACTTCTGCTAGAATTTGCACTGGAAACAAAAGTCTAAAACCAAAGATGAGCCACATAGAATACAAATAAAGTGCATTTTTAAATAGCTCGATTTAACTTTGGTGGATGAAGCTTCAAACTTTATATTAAGGCACCTGGAATTCTCTCCCTCCCTATTCTTTTTCAAACACACGAAAGAATGCATTCACGAAATTTATAGCTACATGGACAGAATTTTAGTTTACCTAATGTAATTTTAGCCCATTTAGGTAAAATGTAAACTCGATTTTCAAAGTCAACATTATTTAGAAAATATTTTCTACAGAATAATTTCTGTAAACTAATTCATACACAAAGATCAATTACCGATTTTTGTATAACTTATCATTTTCAAGTAGTATGACAATTTATATACTCTGCTTTTGAAAATCTCATAAATAAAGTTTGAGAAATAGTTATAAAGTATTTTTGTAAGGAAACTTTTTATGTATAATCTTGTGTCAAATTGGTGTCACTAATATATCAATTAATCCAGTCCAGTCCATATTCTCTGACAAACTATGCTTGATACTTACATGAAGTACATTTAGCCTAATTTTAAAACAAGAAATAATTAAAATGAGTATTTTGCTTTAATCTTATTTTATCAACTTAATGTAGTTTAAATAGACATTTCATGGAGTAGTAGCCTAAGTTTGCATTGCTTTTTACAATACAATTCCAGATCAATATAAGCACCTGGAGAAAAACCCTGACACATATAGCCCAAGCTAAAGTAGTAGTATTTTTAATTAAGATATTATCATAAAATAGTGATTACAGCTACTTCACATTTTAAAAGCAATATGTTTTTATAAGAAAATTGTTATAAATGAAAAACATGACTACTTGAAGACAGTTTTAAATGTTTAAAAATCTTGCTATCACTAGTAAGGGGAAACTTGCCTATGAAAAACATTATAATGAGTTCGTGGAAAAAAGTTAATAGGTTAAATATTTTAAGCCATTTAACTATAGCATAATATTAGTCATCTCAGAAGTACTTTATCATTCTAACTTTATTAAGCTCATCCAGTTCATTAATAGTAAACTAGGCCCTGATTGGTAGTCTGTTATTACTAAATGTTCAAGTTTTCTATTAACATAGATTTTATTATTTAATTTCTCGAACAGCAGTCTCTTGATTAGGAGTTTCATCTTCTTCAAAGGTTGGGTTGTCAACATGAGGAACAAAATCCACTGCTACAGAGCTTGCTTCATGGTTTACCAGCTGCAGATTTTCATCTTTAGAAAGAAATAGCAATTTTAGGATGATCTTATCCCTCTCTTCTTTAAGATAATATTTGACACTCACGTCTAAGAAGCATTTCTTGTCTAATTCCATCATACTCTGATTATTACATTCATTCCCTGATCCTTGAATAATTATATGATTTATGCTATGTCTTACATAAAGCACATACGGCATTATATTGATTTACAATTATTTTTCTTGACTGACATGTGTGCTTAATTCTACCTAGATTATAGCCTCCTTAAGAGCAAAGTTATGTCTCTCCTTCTCTATCTTAAATATAAGTTCTTAAACCTAGCTTTGTATTTCAATCGATTTTTAAAAAATTACTTATGCTTTTTCAAATGCATAGACACACAAAACAAACAAACAAAAAACAACCAGGAATTTGGAGAAGAGTGCCTAAAATGGAATACAAATGGTAACAAATGAACAAAATTATATTACAGATGACGTATATATAACCATCCTTAAGAGAGTGGGGAAGAAAAGAACTAACTTAAGTAACTTTGGAAAATAATATTTTGGCTATATCCCATAAGGCTAAGAAAAAAAGAACTGTATACTAGTTACTGAAATTGTTTTTCACAGGGCTGTGAGTTAGCAATGTTGAAATTATTTTATGTGTGTTCTAGGATTGAACAAATAAGTAAATATATTGTAGAAAATGAGAGCCAGGTTTTTCACTGTCAGAGAAAGAAATTACAAATAAAGAAAAGGGAAGGCTAGAACAAACTCTGTGACATTGGATTGAAATTGGATGTATCAGTACAAACTCACTGTTTTTCAGATGACAAATAGACAGACAGACAGACAGACAGACACCCCAATAGCAATGAGCACACCTAGTGCCCAGATCTTGGATTGGAAATACTGTTCTACAATAAAAGCCCCTTTGAAGAAATGTTTGATTCTAGGGTTAGGGCAAGGAGAGTACAAGATTAACTTAGATTCTAGCCTAAGGATAAGCAACTACAGCCTGCAAGCAAAATCCATAGCTAAGGGTGCTTTCTATATTTTTAAAAAGTTGTAAGACAAACAAACAAATGAAATACAATAGAGGCTTATGACCTTCAGAGCCTAAACTATTTACTATCCAGCCCTTTACAGAAAATTTTTGCCAATCCATGGCCTAAAACATCTTGTGGTGCCAGAAAGTAAGGAGGGGCTCCAAAAAAAAAAAATGGGACCTATTGAAAGAAAATGGAAACCAACTTGAGGGAATTCTCAATGACCAAATCTAGGACAATCTAAGCAATGAATAAATCATGAGAGTTACAGAATAAAATAAATATCTATGAGTCCATACTATTATAAATAAATAATTTATAATAAATGGGAAAAAAGGATAGTTCTTCCTTAAAATAAAAGCTTAGTTAATATAGAAAAAAAGAATGGGAATGAAAAAATAACCACTGGCACATACTTCATAATAATTATTGCAACAAAGAAGCACCAATAATTGCTAAAATTAGTGGTAAAGGTATGATGAGAAACAGGATATTAGCATAATCTCTTAGTGTCTCTCTATAAGGTAATTAATAATTATAACAGTAAAAATAGTAACTTTAAAAGGAGAATCTTGGCAGACACCATCTTAACCAAATGAGCAAAGCTAAAATCATCAATAATAAGACATGGACATCATGTGTCTCATTACATGATGTGAGGTAGAGAAGGGCACATCATTTCTGTGGTATTTTTGCCTAAAATAGAAAAGGACAATTAATTTAATCATTGGGAAACAGCAGACAAGACAAATTGAAGGGCATTCTACAAAATAACTGACCAGTAGTCTTCAAAAGTGTCAAGGTCATGAAAGACAAAGACTAAGGAATAGTTGAAGATTGGAAACTAAGAAGATATTATAATTAAATACAGTGTGGATCTCTCAACAAATTGGGTATAGAAGGAACACAACCAAACATAATAAGGGCCACAAATGACTAACACAGCTAAATCTTGCTCAATGATGAAAAGCTGCAAGCTTTTCCTCTAAAATCTAAAACAAGGCAAGGGTACCCACTCTCACCATTCCTATGCAACATACTATTGGAAGTCATAGCCAGAGGAATGTCAAGAAAAACAAATAAAAGCCCTCAAAATCAAAAAAGAAGTAAAAATGTCTCGGTATTCAGATGACATGACCTTGTATAGAGAAAATGCTAAAGACTCCACGAAAAGACTATTAGAACTAATAAATGAATTCAGTAAAGTTGCAGGATACAAAATCAACATACAAAAATCAGTTGCATTTCTATACACTAACAATGCAATATCTGAAAGAGATATAAAATTCCATTTACAATAGTATCAAAAATAACAAAATACTTATAATTTTAAAAGGATATAAAAATCCTGTACAATAAAAACTATATGACACTGATGAACAATATTGGAGACACAAATAAATGGAAAGACCCCATGTTCATGGAACAAAACAATCAATATTATTAAAATGTCCATACTACCCAAAGCCATCTATAGATTCAACACAATCCCTACCAAAATTCCAATGGCATTTTTCAGAGAAATAGAAAAAAAACACCAATCCTAAAATTCACATGGAACCATAAAAGACCCCAGATAGCCAAAGCAATCTCAAGAAAAAGAATGAAGTGGGAGGTATCACACTTCCTAATTTCAAACTATACTACAAAGCAATAGCAATCAAAATAGTATGGTACTGACATAAAAAGACACATAAATCCATGGAACAGAATTGAGAGATCAGATATAAACCCATGCTTATGCAGTGAACTATTTGACAAGGGAACCAAGGACACTCGATGGGGAAAAGATAGTCTTTTCAAAAAATGATATTGAGTAAACTGGATATTCACATGCAATAGAATGAAACTGGATCTCTACCTTACAGTACTCACAAAAATGAACTCGAAATGGATTAAGGACTTAAACATAAGAACTGAAACCATTAAATTCCTAGAAGAAAACAGGGGAAAAGCTCCTTGACAATGGTCTTGGCAACATTTTGGGGGGGATATGACACCAAAAGCACCAGCAACAAAACCAAAAATCAACAAGTGGGTCTATATCAAACTAGAAAGCTTCTGCACAGCAAAAGAAACAATCAACAGAATGAAGAGGCAAGTTACAGAATGGGAGAAAATATTTGCAAACTATTTATTAGATAAGAGGTTGATATCCAAAAAATATAAGGAACTCATACAACTCAATAGCAACAAGACAAAATGAAAAAAACAAACAACCTAATTTTTAAAAGGGCAGAGGAAATGGATATTTTCCCAAAGAATATGTACAAATGGCCAACAGTTACATGAAAAGATGCTTAACATCACTAGTCATCAGAAAAATTAAAACCAAAACCAAAATAAGATATCACCTCACACTTGTTAGAATAGCTATTATCAAAAAGAGGTGAATGTTGGCAAGGATATAGTATAAAGAAAAACCTAGTGACTATTGATGGGAATGTAAACTGGGATAGCCACTATGGAAAACAGTATGGAGATTCCTCAAAATATTAAAAAATAGAACTACCATACGATCCAGCAATCTCACTTCTGGTTATATATCTGAAGGAAATTAAATCACTATTTTGAAGAGTGATCTGCATCTCCATGATCACTGCAGCATTATTCTCAATAGCCAAGACATGGAAACAACCTAAATGTTCACTGACAGATGAATGGGTAAAGAAAATGTGATTACATATACAGAGTATTATTCGGCCATGAGAAATAAGAAAATCTTGCCATTCGCAACAACATGGATGGACCCTGAAGGCACTGTGCTAAGTGAAATAAGTTGGAGAAAGACAAATACAATACAATCTCACTTATGTGTCAAATCTAAAATAAAAAATACAGCCAAACTCATAGAAACAGAGAGTAAGATGGTGGTTGCCAGGGGATAAGAGGTAGGGGAAATGGGGAAATGTTGGTCAGAAGGTACAAACTCCCAGTTATAAGATGAATAAGTGCTGGAGATCTGATGTACAGCATGGAGACTCGTTAACATTGTATTATATACTTGAAATTTGCTGAGAGAGTGGATATTAAATATTTATAATTAATGTGAGATGATGGTTTTGTTAACTAACATTAATGTGGTAATCATTTTGCAATATATATATTAACAATATATGTATTATATGTATATTACACAATATATATATTAAACTTACACAATGTTATATGTCAAGTATGTATATCTCAATAAAGTTGGGGGGAGAAAAAGAAAAAAAAGGAAATGAAATATGGGATCTTGGCACAGAAAAAGGACATTAGTGGATCAATTGGTGAAATTTGAGTAACATCTGTAGTTTAGTTAATATGTTATCAGTTAATTTCCTGTTTTTTATAATTTTATTTTTTATGGCGACATTGGTTAACAAAATCCAATAAGTTTCAGCTGTACACTTTAACAGTAAGGTATATATATATGTTTACACTGTGTGTTCATCTCCCATAGTTAGATTTCTCTCGGTCACCACAATTTCCTGGTTTTGATCATTGTAATATGGTTATATAAGATGTTAACATTTGGAAAAGTTGGGTGACAGGCATTCTCTGTACTATTTTTGAAACTTTTTTTAGTCAGCCTGAAATTTTTTGAAATTAAATAAAATTAATAAAATTTTAAAAACCTGTTCTTGGTCCCTACACCTCACAGATTCTGATTTAACCATTTTGGGGTAGAGCCCAGGCATCAGTAATGTTTCAAGTTTCATCGGGTGATTCTAATATGCAGCCAGGGTTAAGAAATAAGGTCCTTATTCAGTGGTTCTCAAAGTGTGGTCCCTGGACCAGCAGCATCAGTATCACTTGGGAACTTATTAGAAATGCGGATTCCCAGGCTCCAGCCCAGACCTACTGAGTCAGAAATTGGTGGTAGCCCCACTGTTTTAACAAGCTCCCCCAGGTGACTCAATGTATAATTAAGTTTGAAAAAAGAGTGCTCTAATAGAATTTAACACGGTGATAGGACACACTGATATGAACTAATCAACTATGTTTACGAAGTTATTTAAATCAACTATCGCCATAATAATCAATGTTTAATGGCCAAGATATCCAAACTAGTAATACATAATCACAGATAAATCTATTCTAGGTGGTCATTCATTCAACACTGATTTGAGTGTCTATTATGTGGCAGGCTGTGTTAGGTGCTGGATACACAATAGTGAGTAATAAGATACTACAATTCAGTGCAACAAGTACAATGACAGAAGTTCTATGGAAGTAGACAGTAGGGCCACACATGCGAGTCAAGAGAGGCTTCGCAAAGCGGGTCAAGTTTTAAAGAAAGAATAGGAGTTAGACTGGGCTTCCCTAATTTCTTGTGCGGAAGAAGAGTGGAAGGAATGGGCAGAGAGAAGACAGTGGCTCAAACTATGACCATGGAATTATAAGTTGGAAATTAGGGGGTGGATTAGAGATAAAGGATATTGAATCAATAGGAAAGGGGAGAGGGAAGAATCAAGGATCTCCCTAGTTTCTGGTTTGAGGCATTTGTGTGCACATTAGTACTATTCATCCAGATAAAAAATACAGGAGGAGGAACATAGGTCATCATTTCATTTGCTTCTCAAATTCTCTGCAAAAACTGTTCTGCTTACCACCCTTTCCCACAAAGAAGAGAGAACAAAAAAAGTAGGTTGGAACTTTTTCTAACGAGCCTAGCAATAAACTGAATTATCTTGTACACTCTCCTTTATCTTCACTGAATTCTATTACCACACAGTTATGAGAACAAAATCTCATCTGGGGCAAACAGACAATGACTCTCTATTATAGGTAGAATAATCCAGAGATGATTAAGATTCTTATGATGACTTTGTACCCTATAATATGTCTGAAGATTAGATTACTTGCGATATGAGGTTGCAGTTGCATGATAGTATTCCTTGTGACATCTTAAGAAATGGTATTACATGGCACTGATAAGCCTACAGAGGACAAAGGTTTATGTCATAGGAAGCTGATATTTGACATTTTGCAAGTCATCTTGACATTTAGTTTTTCTTCTACTTGTATGTCGGAATTAGGTTATCTCAAAATGAGGACTGAGAAACAAATGTTCAAACCATCAAAAACCATGAAAAAGATGGAAATTAAAGAAAGGGAACATAATTTGTTATAGGAGTTTTCTCTTTCTAAGAAAAAAAGTAAACAGAATTCACTAAAATTTCTTTATTGCCACGATATCACTAAGCTGTAATACTGATTCACACGAATTCTGAAAATAATATACAGTAGTCCTCCCTTATCTGCAGGGTATATGCTCCAAGACCCCCAGTGGATGCCTGAAATTGCAGATAGTACTGAACCCTACACATATTATGTTTTTTTCCTATACACACATATCCATGATAAAGTTTCATTAATAAATTAGGCATAGTAGAGATTAACAACAACTAAGAATAAAACTTTATAAAAATATACTGTAATAAAAGTCAGGTGAATGTGGTCTCTCAAAATATCTACTGTACTGTACTCACTCTTCTTGTAATGATGTGAGATATGATCAGATGAAGTGAGATGAACGATATAGACATTGTGACATAGCATTAGGCTACTATAAGGGTTACTTAACGTAAGCACTCTGCAATACCATGATAATCATCTGATAACCGAGGTGGCTACTAAGTGATGAATGGTTGGGGAACATGTGCAGCATGAGATTTCATCATGCTACTCAGAACAGCACACAGTTTAAAACTTATTAATTGTTTATTTCTGGAATTTTCCATTTAATATTTTCACATGGTGGCAACTGAAACCACGGAAAGTGAAACCAAGGATAAGGGGGCACTACTGTGTTTAATTTTAGTTTGCAAGGTTTGTTCATTTCATGGTAAATAATCAACAGGTGGCAGCACACACCATTCTTAAAGTTTTGATCTGTGCAAAAGATTGGTTCCTAAGTTGTGTATAAATCAAGCTTTTGTAAATCAAATTTTATCTTATCATTTCAGAACTTCTTTATCTTAATTTCTGATTGATCTGCAATAAACAATGGCTTCTAAAGTTTAAAGTTACTCCTTAGGCTCTGTAAGTTAATAAGCCAACACTTAAATGCATCAGAGAGAAACTTTCCAATAAATCGTTTTCTTCTGTGAATAATCCCCACTCCTGATGCATTTCATCTATTTCAGGTACATTTGAATACATATATATTAAGTTAAGGTAAGGGTACATCCTGTATTGCATTATTGTTCATAGAAAAAATCTGAAATGTGTTAATGGGTGAATGAAACAAATGCTAAAAAGCAGAAGTATGATCCACAATTGATCATTTGTGGGACACTTGAATCTCAGCATGGTGCTTACTTGCTGACTGCATGTGTTCCTCCAAAGGTGGTTCATCTGCTCCCTGAACTGAAGCATATCCAGAAGATGCAGTCTCACTGCGATTATCCTCTTCATGAGGAGAGGCACTATTGGATGTTTCATTGGATACAGGGATTTGTATAGACACTGATCCATCTTCAACATCCACCTTTGGAAAGCATTTGAACAAATTAAAAGACTCTCAGTGTACATGCTTTTCCTTGACATGTGATTACAAAGTTTCTTCATAGGTGACTTATTACAGTAATGCTTTAAACCTTTTAAACCTATAATCCCTTTTGATAATCACAAAAATCTCTTGTTGGTCTTAGCCAGAGCAGTTAAAAAACTGGGTCCATGAGTGGGGCAAAGGATGTTACAAGCAGATTGTCATTATATCTGACATGTTCATCTGGATGATCCCAGCACTTCATAATATAATGCCTGGTACAAGGTAGGCAATCAAAAAAAAAATCTCATGCTGTTCCCTAGGGGAATTGAAAATCACTGTCTTCTACATATCTCTTCAAATCAGGAAGATTTTGTTGAGCTTAACTTTCTGTTGCACGCATTGTGAAAGACGTAGTTTTTTATTCATTTACCAAATATATTTTTTTAATTTTTTCTTTTTGATTAGAGTTGACATTCGATATTATTTTATATTAGTTTCAGTTGTAAAATATAGTGGTTATTTATTATACTTTCTGAAATTATACATGTTCATTTAACTACAAATTTGGTTGCTATGCAATAGTAAGAGAGTAAAAACCAGGATGGTGTATCAGAAGTCAGTTGGTAGGTTATAGGGTCATTACTTCAAATTCTGACCAAAAAAAGTACATTTGAGGAAAGAGAGGAAGAAGGAAAATGGAGGTGGTCCAACATGGCACCTCACTGTCACTATGATGTAAATATGTCTACCTTTTGGTACAAACTGTAAGTCTAACACATTGCATAGCTAAAAAATAAAGTCGTTATTTTCCCAAAGGCCCAGGTACATAAATAACACACTGCTTGAGCTCCTTCATATAAATAGTTTCGCAATGTTTACCTCAATTCCCAAAGCTTTGAGAATATCACATTTGCACATGGGGCAAGTCCTATGTTCTAACAGCCATGGGTCAACACATGTCTTATGGAAAATATGGCTAATGAAGAAAAAAAACACACAATTTAGTTATCGACTGTGAAGTAACAACAACACTTTTCCTAATACACTAACAGGTTACCCCGTAATTTCACTTAGTCTTTTAACAGAGGTTTTTTTTTTTTTTTCCTTTTATATACACTATTACAGCATAAATACTAAGAAGGAGACACAAAAGCAAAATTTAGAAATTTCATAATATGGTATTTTTAAATATAAAAGCCTTATTTACTCTACCTTCAAAAGAAATAGTTTCAGTACTAATTACTTGAAAAATGGCTAAGATGCTACCTGACCTAAAACTTTGTTCAGTATTTCAGATCTTAATTATCTTGTCATTTCCTAACTGTAAAATGCCACAGTTAGTCATTTGCAATAGAATAGTATAATATAGTATTGAGTAAAACATAGTGCTCGATACATTCCAAGAGCACCACTATTTAATAGCTAAAAGAAAGAATGTTAAGAACAACTTTCAGGAGAAGCATAATAAAAAAAGAATAAAGACTTCCAAATCGGTGCAAATAAGTTGATTTTTTTTTCTTAATAAGATTGTTAGAAAAAATTGAAATTAAACAACCCAGTATGTATTAGTATATAAATTATATATATATGTAAAATTGTGGTGCTGATTAGGTTCTCAGTTTTATATAGAACTCGTTTCCAAATTGTACCATATTATGGAAACTATATAATTAGCCTTATACCAATTTTAATGATATTAAAAAATAAAGTATTCTCCTATACTTAAATGAAAATAAAAATACTTTATTTACATCAATTTAGAAACATTCAAAATAGTTTCCCCATTACAATAATTTTTGTAAATCAGCTATTTTTATTGATGATATAAAAGAAAATCAAACTTACTTGCAGGTTAAGATGCGTACCAAATCATTTGGTTTATACAGTTCAATACACACAGCACAACTATCTCCATCTGGGCCAATTTCCTATGAGCAAATAGTTATTGTTACTCTGATGGATAAGAAAAAATACATTAAACTACAGAGCAAGATCAGAATATACATGTATTTAAATTACATAAATTCCTATAGAAGGAAGAACATCATATCACTAAATGACCATGTTTCAATAAGCAATTTAAAATTATTTAGACTTAATTGGGAAAAAAAATTATCTGAAAAAAAAGTCAAACTTATAGAAACAGAGTAGAAAAGTGGTTGCCAGGGGCTGTGGGTGGAGGAAATAGGAATAAGTTGGTAAAAGGGTATAAACTTTCAGCTATAAGATGAATAAGGTCTGAGGATCTACTGTAAAACATGGTGACTAAAGTTGATAACACTGTATTATACAAATTGAAATTTAAATAAAATTAGACTTAAAACAGGTAAAACAATAAAGTCAACCAAAAGGGGCACGGCACAAAGAGAAACATGGAACATTGATTTAAACTGTTTTTTCTGGTTTTAAAATTTACAAAATGCCATTTGAATGCCACATTCTAAAGCTATATTTTCCCATTTAAAGAAAAGTAAGACATAATTCACATTCAGTAAAATTCACTCTTTTAAGTATACAGTTTTGCAAGTTTAGACAAATATGCAGTCACTTAATACCCACCACAATCAAGATACAGTTCTATTACTCACTGCAATAAATTCCTCTGTACCACTTTATAGTTAACCCCTACTTTCACTACCACTCTCTAGCAACTACTATTCTTTTCTCAATTCCTACAGTTTTGGCTTTTCCAGAATATCATATAAATGGAATGGTGCATTACCTAGCTTTTGAGTCTAGCTTCACAACGCATTTGAGATTCATTCATGTTGTGAGTTCTCAACCCCCTTTATATTGCTAAATAGTATTCCATGATATAAATGTACCACAGTTGTTTTTCCATTCATCAATTGAAGGACATTTGTGTTCTTCCAGTTTTTGGTAATTATGAATAAAACTGAACAATTGTGTACAAGTTTTTATGTGAACATTTGTTTTTTTTCCCTCTAGGGTAACTATCTAGTAGTGAGATTACTGGGTTTTTTGGAAAGTGTATGTTTGACTTCATAAAGAACTGCCAAACTGTCTTCCAGACTGGCTGTACACTGTATTCTTACCAGCAAATGCATGAGAATTCCAGGTGTTCCACATCTTGACCAGCTCTTGATATTGTCAGTTGTATCAGCTTTATGCATTCTAAGGAATGTGCTGTGGCATCTCATTGTGGTTTTTATTTGCATTTCCTCAATGACTAATGGTGTTGAGCATCATTTCATGTGTTTTGCCATCCATATATATTTTTTGGTAAAATGTCTGTTTTGCCCATTTTTCACTAGGTTACTTTACAACTGTTGAGTTTTGAGGATTCTTTATGTATTCTGGATACAGCTCTTTATCAGTATGGGGTTTGAAAATATATTCTCCCAGTCAGCCACTTGTCTTTCCATTCTCTTAACAGTGTCTTTCAAAGAGCAAAAATTCTTAATTTTGACAAAGTTAAATGCCTCATTTTTTTCTTTAATGGACATATGTTTTTGTGTCATATCTAAGTAACTTTTGCCTAACTCAAGCCATGGAGATATTTTTCTCCAAATTTTTCTACTAAAATTTTTATCATTCTAGGTTTTATATTTAGGTTTGTGATGAATTTTGAATTATTTTTTACAAATGGTATAAAGTATGAATTGAGGTTCATTTCTTTTGCATGTAGCTCTCCAATTATTGCACATTAACAGTCAACAATTGGCTATACTTTCTTCATTGAATTGCCTTTATACTTTTTAAATTTATTTATTTTATATTTTTTATTTATTTTTATTTAGTTTCAAGTGTCCATTACATTGGTTAGACATCTATATAGTTCATAAAACGATCCCCCCCCCCGATTGCATCCACCCTCCCCTGACCCTCCACCTAGCCAATGTATTAATGCTAACTGCATTTCCTATGCTGTGCTCCGCATCCCTGTGACCATCCATCAGCTACTAATTTGTACTTCTTTAGCCCTTCACCCCATTCTCCCAGCACCCCAATCCCATTCCCCTCTGTCTGTCACCAAATTGTCCACTATATTTGTGAGTCTGTTTTTGATTAGTTTGTTCTTTTTATTCCT